AGACTACAGCAAGTGCTCTGCTTCTTTTTTTTTTTTAAATACAATTTTTGCAATTTGCATCTACATGTACTTTTTCTTCCCCTTTTATTTCTTTTTGATAATTTCTGTAGGTTTATTTGCTGGAAAGTGAAAGGAGCTTCACTTTTTGACTTTCTGGAGAGAATTTCCCATGCGGCTTTAATTCTGGCTGCACTTGAAATGGTTGGGTCCAATTCACCACCACCCCCTCTTTGTTTCCTTCCTCCCTTGGACCCAGCAACTCAGCAGAAGTCTTCTTTTGTGTTCCAATCTGAGCCAAATTACCGCAAATTACTCTGTCTGGCCTAGGCTATTATTAGACCAGCCAGCAACTGTGGCTCTTTTGATTATTTCAACAGCTGGTTTTGTTGCCTGTCTAGAGACCCAGAAGCACAGGTCTCTCCTCCCCCTAGAAACTGCTTACCCAGAAAAAGGGCTATGTCAGCATTTGTTCCAAGACTGCTGAGGTGGATCTACCATTGCTGCTCAGGAGCACTTCATCAGAGCCCATCTATCTCTTGCAGGCTTGTTAAAGCCTATCTCCTTCCTAGGTACCTCCATTCATTACACACTTTTATCAGGTATCAAGCCAGTGATGTGATGCTGCATTTGACAGAGCAACCCTAAAGCTGTTGATCACTTGAAAATACCAATATAAACTAGAAGTGCGGCACAGCTCACAATCAGAGTATGGATGAGTGCATCTGGCAAGCACTCACTAGCAAAGAATTACTTGTAAGAAATGGAGCTCTAGACATCTACCCTCTGTCTCCACTCCTTTAGAGTCCGTGTGTATTAGCAAATTTTGCAGCTGAGAGAAGTACAGTGTATATGTACATACTGTCTTACACATTCCTGTGTATTACCCTACATACACTTGTTCTATGGGCATTTAAAACCTAAAAACTACCTCTAAGCTTGAAAGCTTGTGGCATTTGTACACTGTCAGTGTGAGTATACCTACATAACTCTAGCTGCTAATAGTAAGCAACCTTCTTTTGGAGGCAATGTGCGTTATTGAATGTTTTTTGCAATAAATGTTTCAGAAATACGATTCAAGTATTTTATGCAATGCTGCCTTGCATTTTAAGTTTGTTTAAATGCTGGGAATTTTTACTTGTTTCTAGCAGTAGTGATTGGAAACTGTTTCCAGTAGTATGTTAATTATTGCTACCTGAATCTTGCCATAGTTTGATTCTTTCTGGTGAAATCTGTACTCTACTAGTTCCAGGTATTTCTTGAACAGCTCCTCTAGCTTTAAAACTCAGTCCCCGTCCCAAGTGCATTTCCCACTGGTTAAAGTGGTTGCTTCAGAGAGTTCATCGCTTTATATAGTTTAGGTATTGCACTTTCATTTTTAAGTAGGACTTTCCCTGTGAACTCTAAGCAACTCTTGATGATTGTCAACATTAAATATGCATGTTCTTTCCATACTCTTATTTGACATTTTGGGGAATGTTTTCTTAGTTATAGCTAGAACTACTCTGTTCATCATGTTTTTGTTAAGCCTAAGATCTCTCCAAATATATTTTTCAGTATTTTGTGCTTGGAAGCCTCTGTGTTATTTTCAGCAACAACAAGAAAAAGATTAATTCAATTTTCTGGATTTTTTGAATTTGCGTTATGTTCTATGGTATATTTCTGGTTTTTCCTTCCTTGGTACCTTGGTAATTTTACAGCAAGCTTCCTTTCCTTCACACCCCCACCCCCCCCAGCAGTAGTGAAACACACGGTGTAAAAAGGAGATCATCAGGAAGTGGAAAATGAATGGTCCTTGTCACTCTGCCGTTAGTGAAGTTCAGAAGCTGAACACAGGTGCTGCATTTTGACTCCACAGTGAAGAACCAGCATACAAGCAATATGTACTGTTTGTTTTACAAGGAAGATTCTCTTTTGTCTTTCACACATGTCCATACCCATGACTGCCCTCCCTTCTGTTGCTCTTCCTCATACTTTCTGCACTGGAACTTCTTTGTTGTGTTTTTCATTGGAGGCAAGGCTTCGTGGCACAGCCCTATAGCATACCTGTGGCAGCAGTGTACCACTGAGGAATTTTGTAACCAGCTGGTCATCCTGTACAAGATGTGCTGATCTTGCATTGAAATTTGTGAGGTGAGGTGACATCCTTTGATTTACCATGCAATCCACCCATGCAGAGTCATCCAGAGCATGAGGCTTTTGAGAACACATACCTGTAGTGGAAGGTTTGATTTGTCTGTTAAATAGTCCTGCTGTACACCCAGTTTTATGCTTGGCCTTATATCCTTTGAGAGTATAAAGCCTTATGTCCTTCTAAAGTGTAACTATTACACCCCTTGGACACTAAACATTCCAGGGGAAAAAACCTTCTGTTAAGGAACAACGATTGTAAAGACAAGTGTTGAAACAGTAAGAAACGCATAGGCAATCATTTGTATTCACACATTGTATTTTTCAGTTTTGTGATCCCATACGTTTTTTGAACCTGCACAGTCTGCTTTATTCAGTGTACAAAGTAGAAAGTGCTTTGTGAGTCAGCAGAGATATTGCTTAACATTGGGGTTACTCAACGTTTTATTGTTTCTTCCTGATCTAATTTGTGGTCACATATTTTATTTATTTACTGTCCCTTATTCACCTGCTCTGTAGCCGAATTTAACTTCCTTATATGCTTTTTTTTTTTTTTTTTTTTTTTTTTTTTTT